GGGGGGGGGACTATCAATCAGGTGACGATGGGAAATTATCCTAGTGTGCCCGGAGCTTACAAATTCAAGACACAGAAGACGATAACTAAACTGACCACGTGAGAGCGTTCGTTTCGCCACGGTTGGCGAAAAAAAAAAATAGGAGAAAAAGCGGTTGTTACACGATTATTTGTAATAATATACATGTAGTTTACTTTCTCAGAGCATGTCTATCTTTCCCTCGATCCTGGTACGTTTGTTTTAGTGTGTTTTACGGCACAGTAAGGTCATATAAGTGCCGGAGATTAGAGGTGTTGCAAGAGAGTAATAAACACCAAAAAAGGAGGGGAGATAAAGACGATAGAATGTTTGATAGGAAAGAAGTAACAAACCACACCAGAGCACCCGCCAACCACCCACGATCCTGGTATGTTTATCAATTAATGGACTATTATGTAATGGTTGAGAATATTCTGTACCCCTGTTGACGCAGTTTTGATCACCTCCACCTTGCCTGTCAAGCAAGGCTTAACTGGAAAAATTAAGAATCGAGGGAGATGCGACATTTGCATCATCCCAGCATACAGACTGAGGAGATCACAGTCGAACCTGCTCCCCCGATCACCTGACTTGCACAGACGCCCCCCCCCCCTTCTTGCTTAAAAAATTAAATTATTATACGTGTATTTTGACATTGTCCAAGTGGACCACCTGTTTACTATAACCACTTTTCTCCTCCTCAATGGGTGGTGTTGCCGTGGCCAGTTTCGACTGTACTCGATAAAAATTAAAATAGATTTCCCGGGGAATCGATGAACACACGTCTTTCGCGTGCATTGTAAAAGACACTTTTTGTTTTGTTTTTGGTAAGTGTTTTACGGTGCTCGCAACTGCATAAGGTCATATTCGCGCGCGGGACACATCTAATATTTTCAGTTGGTAGGAAATTTTGAATTTTGCCCGGGTGGCGGCCGAATCCTACTCTTATCAATTTTAGACCACCAAGGGATCTTTAACGTGCGCAACTTGCACATGGCCCTCCGAGATTTTTCGGTCTTGTCCAAGAAGGTTAGATGCAGATCTTTCCTACCAGTAGGTCAGGGGTGTGGCTGAAAGACAGCAGTAAGAAGGAGCCAAGGAGTAGCAGTAGAAAGGCAACAGGAAGAGTCAGGAGCCCAGAGGAAGGGGGGCAAAGGAGGTGAGGGGGTGGGGGCAGAAAGAGGAGACGAAAGCAGGCGACAGAACATTGCTAGAGAACAGGAATGGAGGTGAAAGGAGACCATTTTAGAGAAGAAAATTTTTCGGTCGCTACCCGGATTCGAACACGGGACCTTTGAATGAGAGGCCAACACCTTAACCTCCAGGTCACGAGAGCCCCCTAACCAGAGCCCCCTAAAAGAGACTAACCAGAAAACCACGAACGTCAGTTAGGTCAGTTAAATCGTGAAATTTTATTGTAAATTAAAAGTCAGAAGGTGCTCGGGAAATAATAGATACAATGTATTTTTATGGTTTTTGTCAATTCAAAGTGCAGGTATTCTAAAGCGTATTATGTTGGTAAAGGAGTATTCTTTTACTTCCCCTCCCGTCTCACACTCAGCGACTAGATCTAGATGTCCATTTTCTACAACACATTGATGCGTTAAACACGAATTTCCGTTGCAAATTAATACTTTTTGAAATATTTGATGGTTTTCAATCGCACTTTATCACACTTGGCCAAATAATTTCCGGGCTTTACACCAATTGGCCCCCCCCCCCCCCCCCCAATTCCCCCAATAATCCCCCAAGCGAAAAAAAATCTGGGGGGGGGGGGGGGTTACAGGGCTTTTTATTTTTACCCATAATTTGATGTTTTGCAGTTAGGTTTGAAATTTTCTTGAAAATACTTGATTTGCAACAGTTTTAGTGGCTATATATGTGTGATCTGCACCGAAAAAATACTGCAGTTTGACCCCCAAAGCAGTGCATCTGTGTATGGGAGTGAAAGTAAAAGATTATTGGTAAAAGTAAAGTAACCCTTGTTTTTTGACAATTCAAAGTGCAGGTATTCTATAGCTTATGTTGATAAAAGTAAGGTAACCCCCCCTCCCCCTCTCTAGAAATAAGTCAAAGGTTTCTCCTCACATGCCGTCACAGCGACCCAAAATGTACTTCAGACCCAGGATGTGAGCATCTGGTCGAGTAAGTTCCGAATGGAGGGCTCAAGTTTACTTTTACCGCTTTATTTTTTTGGGGGGTCATTTTTTGTTATGTTGTCAACACACAAAGTTATCCAAAGACAATGTGAGAAAGAGTGTCAGGGTTAAGGAGAACAGTCTTCACGCAACAAGCTACAACCACAGACATGAATTATATTATGGTCGCTTTTAAAGACAAGCTGGCAAACCCAGATTTCGGGGGTTTCCAGAAATATGGACCTTCCCCAAAAGCGGGCATTGCCCTACCTATAGGAGAAGTTTGGTTTTATTGGTGTGTATATTTGTTCGGTTATAGAGAAAACCTCCCTTGTCTTATAAAGGAGCTGAATACGGATCCAAAAACTTTACCTTCGATTTTCTCAAAACAGCATTTTTCGGGATAGCCCCCTTGTGCTTAAAAAAAGCGACCTTATCCTAAACCGTGCACTGTCATGGTCGCTGCTCTTGGCTCAAAGAATAAAAATTAGTTTTAAAAATTTACTGCGTGCGCACCATGGACGGCCCAATCAAAGGCAAAACACCACTTAAGACTTTCCCCTGGTATAGTCGACTGCATGCGACACACCCCCCCCCCCTCCTGCCCTTCATCAAATTGGCTCGAAACTGAGTCAAATCGTGCGCTGCGCTCCATCGTGAAATGGAATGACGTAAACGTACACAATTTAGGATAATAATATTTCAACACGTCAATGGTCACAACTCAAAGGTAAACACACAAAAATCCACAAGGGCAAAACAAAAAAATCAACGTGTGTCACGCGCACGCATTATATACAGTTGTATAAGCAAACAACACACAGACACGTGAGACATTGCCTATAAAGGTCAAAGGGTCGGGGTCATGTGTCACGTCACGAAGCCGGGTTGTCCATGTGACAGGACGCAAAGAAATCCAGCATGCTGATTTGTCGGGTGATCCTGCCGTGGAGCTAGGAGTTTTGGGGTGGGGAGAGGGAGAACCAAACAAGCAAACTGGCACGTTAATAATATATACAGTCTACGATCGAGATTTAACCCTATCCGTACGTCGTGTTTTACTATCGTATCCATACGACGTGGGGAACTCTGTGCCACCACTTCTAAAGAGGAAGCTTACTGGTTAATCCAATCCGTACACTTTGCATAGCAGTCTGTCAAAATGATTTTTTTGAGAAATACTCAAAGTTTCAAAGAGATCTTCGTACTAGGAGTACTCTAAAATGTGAAGAATACAACCCCGGGTGTACAAAATGACCCCAGGGCGTACGGATAGGGTTAAATATAATATTTTTCTAATAGCCCCCATCGACACAATTTAGAGCATTCATATTTTAAAAAGCCGTGAACGCCCGCAGTCTGTCCGCTTAAAATTTTTCGTTTTGTTTGTTTGTTTCTTAATATACTATCTTTTATATCATCATTAAGACGCTGTACAAGTGGAGTAGATTGGATCGTGCTGAATGGGACAAGAATCTCATTAGTGTACACCGGCAATAAAACGACTCCCACAACGTTTCGGGCCGTACCCCCCCCCACACACACCTTTCACCTTTTTTTCTTCAGCGTCCATAAAATAAAGAAAAAGCGACCACCACATAGGTTTACAAACACGACCAAATACATAAATGACGGAGATAGATTTAACATCTAACAAAGAAGACATAATCACAACAGCAAACAAGATGGGACAGGTCTATTCACTTTGAGGGGGGGGGGTAGGGGGTGGTAAGAAATCCATGGAGCCAATAAACAACAAAGGTAGAGAATCTTTTGTCTAAGTACAGAAACATAGAGGGAAAGAAAAAACTAACTGGACCTGCCAGTGTGTCCCTCGAATCCAACTAGATCAGACGTAGGTTTACACCAGAGAGAGTTACACTTGAGACTGACATGAAACAACAACAACAACAACAACAAATAATAATAATAATAATAATAATAATAATAATAATAATAATAATAATAATAATAATGTACACCAAATAAAAAAGAGACCTAAGTCGCCCTTTGTGAAACAAAGAACAACAACCCCCAAAACAACAACAACAACAACCCCCCCAAAAACCGCTTAAACTTGCACAGATAGAGGTGCCTTTCCCCCTCTCCCAAAGTGGTGCGCTGATTAGTGGAAGCAACAACAACAACAACAACCAACAACAACAACAACAACCAACAACAACAGGAGAAAACAACAACAACAACAACAAACACATTGAGTGTAAAGAAAGAGTTGCTGAATGGAGGATGTTACAACAAGAGGAAAAAGGGGGAAAAGAAAAGAAAAGTAAATACATTATGTTGTGCGTTGTTTTTTTTTGTGTTTTTTTTTTGGGGGGGGGTGTTTGTTTCTTTAAAAAAAAGTAAAACAATGACAATACTTTCATTCATGTTTTTACTTTCAAATGGTCCAGTTAACATGCTAACATGAGACTACAGCCAGTTTTCGGGAGAAATTCTCGAAGAATCCACATCCTGGCAGATTTCTCCAAACTATAGTCACGGAGCACCACGCAACAGAAGCAATAACCATCACACATCTATAAAGCAAAACTACAGTCAGACCTGCTCTAACGCCCACCTGTCCAAGACAACCACCCGTGGAACCGACCACTTCTATTCCACCTCGCCCCCCCCCCCTTTTGCATTTTTCTTTCTTAATTATGATGGCACTGTTCAAGAGGACCACCTGTCTAAGGTGACTACATTCTTCCTCGACACTGTATGGTCGTCTTGGACAGGTTCGGCTTCATACTATAAATAACAATAGCGGTTGTTCACCTCTAGAACGTTTCGTTATACGGGCGTGGTGACTACACTATGGGGTGAAGAAAAGTAATATGAATGAATGTCAACAAAGAAGTACCACCCCCTTCTTCTTCACAGAAAAGCTGTAGTGACACACGTTGACAATATCTACCAAGCAACTACACATAGACGTGTCCAATGTTAACCCAATTATAGAACCTTTGTAATAGAAAAGGGTGCTCAAAAAAGTGCATACAGACTTTACATGTTAATCAATACAGAGTCCATTAAGTTACATCTGGAAGAGAATATATAGCAAGGGAGTTTTAGGATGGACAATAGTCACAAATAATAAATATTATCTAACTTCATTTGTATAGTGCGAGAGGACACTTGTCAAGTTGATTTTAAAAAAATGGAATTTCCAGCTCTGTGAAGCCGACTCTATCAACACACGAATATATTAACTCACTGAAGACGCACATTCTGCATATGTTTGAAGACGTGTTGTTTTGGGTTACTTTAAATAAAAAACAAGACATAACTTCCATATTCATACTGATATTTCAGTTCTTTTTCCTTTATCTGAAACTTAAATAGACTGGCAACGATATGCATGCTATCAAAAATTCCAAACTCGTGTTTTTGATTTGTGTATAAAGGTTTGAAATGAGCAACAATGTTTGTCTTTGGTCTGCTGCTGATCGGGCGTATGTCTGCTACGTCGACAAAGAGTTAAACTGTTCATTTGTATTGTGGCAGAGACATTTGTATTGTGGCAGAGACATTTGTATTGTGTATCAACATTGTAACCCTTATTTTAGGAGCTTAGGAGAAAGAAAACAAAACAAACAAAAAACCTCAACAGAAGACAGAAAGGAACTGGTGCACAGGAAAGTAGCTGTCCTAAATTCGTCCCAGTTCGACTAAATTTGACCATGGCCTTCAAAATCAAACTTGTTTATTATTCAAGGTCTTGATCTGAATCAGTCCTAATGTGCCAAAATGGTAGCTTTTGCACCCCCCCCCCCCGACCAAGGCCTCTACTCAATTCGATAGAACCCGATTGGCTGCGTGCAGTGTGCACTATTATTCAGCAACAGCCTTAGTGCAACTGAGTATAGGCCCTACGCAGAGGACAGTGTTGCACCTTTGTACTTGTACAGAAAGAGCAGTCAAAACTATAGATAGAAGTCTACTTCTATTCATCATTCAAAATATCTGTACATTCTAAAATGATGTCTGTAGCATGTAAGAAAGAATAGTGAGTTATGTGCTCGGCAAAAGTCTGTTTTCAAATATAGGAACTGTGCTTTCATTAATGAGAAGAAAAAAAATGTGCGAATAGAAAAAATAAATAGCAAATGACTGTCTATATCACTGGACATCCAGATGAACATACAAAGCGTGCATACATTTTTCGAGGGGCCACCCAGTTGAAAGAAAAATCTTATTTCAGGGGTCTCAAACTCAAATTACCTGTGGGCCACTGGAGGTAGAGTCTGTGTGAGCCTGGACCGCATTAGGTAGTCAATGAGAAAAGGTTTCAAGTATTTTTTTCTTTAAAAAACTATCTTATCTTCTCAATCTTTTCCAATAGCAGTTCAAAACAAGAATGATTTTTCAGAACATCAGCTTCTAGAAAACGAAATAAAAAGCAAGGTGCTTGTGAGAAAAATGTGATGGCCAAATTAAGATTTAACTTTGATATCAAGTAGGGGGCGCAAAATATCTTTCTGCGGGCCTCAATTGATCCGCAGGCTTCAAGTTTGAGATCCCTATCTTATTTGAACACATTAATTATCTACAACAAAACTCCCAACTAGCAGCAATCGTAGCATTACCTGACACTACAAGAAGCTCATAAAAGAGTAAATCTATGAAATATTGAACAGATATATATATACGAGAAACAACAAAGGCAGACGCTGTGGCTACCTGCAGGGAGGTCTGCGATCTTACCTTGTCGATTCGTCTTCAAATCCAAAAGCACTACCTAGAGACACATGGTCATAGCCAGGCGGGAACAGAGGATTTTAGCAAAGGGAAAAATAATCAAACCAGGAAAGAAACACAGGCAAGATAACATAACTTTTTGATGACAGAGTCATTGGGAACGAAGTCACCAAGTTCCCCTCCATCTTGACAATCTGAACCTGCTACTCCCCCCCTCCTAACTACCGTTCACAAGTTCTCTCCAACTTGACTATCGAAAATACCCCCCGCCCCCACCACTCTCAACTTAGAAGCCTACAAATTCTTCTTATCTTAACAGCAGTACTTAAAAAATGAGCAAAATACTATTATATACCAAAAAATGAGACCAAAACCATCCTTTGTGAAACAAAAAAAAAAGGAGCATATCATACTTCAGGGATTCTAAAAATGTCTGAAAAGTGATACCCGTAAAAACATGTCTGGAAAATATTCATGAAGATAGTGTAAGTGTAAGCAATTTAAAAAGCTGTCACAAAATAACCACAATGACATGCAATAATCGCAGTCGCAACAAGTGCTGTCACTATGACAAGAAACTGAAACAGCAGACACGACTTACTTAGAGGTGACCGGTGAACTTAAAGTACAAAACAGGCCAAAAAGACCAAATAAACACACACAGAGTCAAAGAAGTAATTCTGTCATCTACTCTTACACATGCATAGCTTAAAAAAAAAAAGTAACGAGTACATGAATATATAAAACTAAACTTGGTAAACAATTTCCTTTCTAGCACTGCTCCCCCCCCCCCCCCTAAAATTTTTCTCTCTCCTTCTGTGACGAATCCGCTTCCAAGAAACTTGTAACTGAATATTTGACATACAACCCCCCCCCCAACCTGTCTTAACAATACTTTTACAATTGAACTCTCTCCTCTGAAAAACTGATCTAAATAAATTCTTTTCAAATTTAAAAAAAAAAGATAAAAAAAGAACATAAACTAAAGCACAAAGCACACATATATATTTGCAAAATTTATTTGAAACATTCCTCAGACCTCATTCCAAAAGAAAAATTCTCACTCTCTTTGTTTTGGTCTCTCCCTCTGTTTCTTACAACACTTCTCCCTTGTTTTACTTAGTCACTTCTGATAAATCCTACACCCTGATGTATTGAGTAACCTTACCATACAAAAATAATTATTTTGGTCAGTTATGTAACTCTGCTTGAAACCATAAGTCTTTACTCTTGCCCTCTACTTTTAAATATGAAAATTATTTTCCGTCTTTTTAATTACTTTTTTAATAATTACCAGGACTTAAAAAGAACAAAGCGACTAGTGAAAAGAACAGAAGATGCTGCTGATCCACAAAAGAGCTAACATCTCTGCTCCATGGTCAAGATGGGACACTTATTTCGAAAGAGAAAAGTTTTTAAAAAACTAACCAAACAAACAAAAGACAAAAAAGTCTTACTTTTTCTCCCAGTAAGATGGAGAGTCTCTCGGCAATCTCCATGAAGCCTTGCTTGAGTGACTCGTGGTACTCCTTCTGCTCCGTGGTGATCAGCTTAGCGTTCAGATCCAGGGCGTCCTTACAAGTAGTCACAAACTCTCTGATATGTGCAGAAGATAAGACGAAAGAAGGTTAGAGTTTAGTCGGACTTGTCCAAGATGACCACCCATCGTCGAAGAAAAAAAGAGGTTATTTTATAGGCCCTACAGGTGGTACATAAGAAAGTCAGAGTACAGTCGAATCTGTCCAAGACAACCATCCACTGTTGGTCAACTTAGAGAGGTGGTCCTCTTGGGTACTGTCATTATGTCATTCCAAAGTATAAAAACAACACCCCTCCAAAAAACCCCCAAAACAACAACAACAAACAAATAAAAACAAATGGGGGGGTAGTGGGAAATGGTCCTTTGTACAGGGGATTGTCTTCGACAGGTGGTCATTTGAGCAGGTTCAACTGTATTTGAATTGTGTTAAACAGATAGCCTTCTTAAACAGTGTCATTATAACTAAGAAAACAGAGAAAACACGCGGAGTTGGGATGAGGTCATTTGTACAGGTGGCCATTACAGAAGGTTTGACTGTATTTGTTTAAAGGCACAATCAACACAATATTGCCAATTAAGTGTCAATGAGACAAGGACAACTCTATTGATCTCATGCTGCATCAGCAGCAGAGTTCTAGTTACAGCGAGGGTTGGGGGCACGGAAGTCAGCTCCCTGTCGCTACTCTGGCAGGGCTGACTTAATTTTTGGTACTTTTCAACTTCAAGTTTTAGGTGTATTTATGTAATTATGGTAATTATCATATCATGCACCCAAAGCATTCATTTCTGCTCTCGAAACTCAAAAAAGAACGGACATTGTAACGTGTCTGGTTATTCTGTTAGAAACGCTGGTCGCCAGTGCTAAATTGTGACATTTTTGGGACAAGTATAAATGAAAAAAAAAAAAGTATTAAAAAAAATGGCTTGACAAAAATCGTCGACTTTTGGAACATGAACAACATAACATTGATGGATATACCCAGTAAAGATTGTATCTGCACAGATGATAGAAAGCTGTAATTTTGCAATTTTATCCGTCTGGCCAACAATTCGCAAAGAAGTAATGCCTTCACATACAACTTTAAGTGTCAAATACAATTGTGAATATCCGTACATTTTCTTGAAAGTTTATAAAATTTACGCTGTGATCTTTCTTCGAAGAAGTACAAATCGATTTTATTGCCAGAATACATCAACAACAAAACATATGAACAGTATCTGTTACACTCCAGAAATTCCTTATTTTTCAAAGCTTAGTCTAGGTTTTGTAAGTTGACTGAAGAACAGGGGTAACTTGTAGAAACTGGATTTGTTTTCAGAATAATTTATAGCTTTGCAATGACACTGAATCAGCATCAGACTTTTGCAGCTAATGTTTCCGTTTCTATGACTATTTGCAAAAACTGACAATGTTCTGATTTCTTAACATTCATAAGTGCCCGTGCACATTTCAGACACAATAACTAAGAATGAATATTGAATGTATTAGCTGTCACAATTTATAATCCTACAAGAAGTTTATTTCTACTTATGCATTTACACAGCTTGTGTGTTTTTGAAAAATTGCATATCTTTTTAGTAGTAGGCAGGCTGCCACAGACACAGCATACTTTATGAACAAATGCAGAGTACCTTCCTCTTGTTTATCTAATGGTAAAGCAAAAGCCAATGCTGGGTGTATTTTGTCAAAAAATACAGATGCCTATCTTTTTGATCTGATAACCTGATTAGTTTTATCTGCGCACATTTAAGATTTCTCATGGTAAAAAACATGATATTCGTAGTCAGTTTAAGAGAAAACAGATTTTGGAGAGATCTATCGAGCTGTTTCTAAATAAATAATCTTTTATTCATAAGTATGTAACTAAAAATAGGACAAATTGGGTATTCTACAAACATATGTCTAGAACGAAAACTAAGGCACAGAAATTAATAATTCCAACCCAGAATAAATCTCAAGACACTGAGCTTTTAGTACATCAGCGTTTTTGGTTTGCTGTGTTGGAGGGGGAATAAGTTATATCGTTTCAAAAGTTGAGAAAAATGTGAACTTCCTAACAGACATCGGTAAATCCCTTCAGGGCTTTTAACCCCCTGACCCCGAGCAGGGGAGTTCCATCGGGCTGCTGAGTCACACTAATTTAAAGACATAGAATCAGGAGAAAAGTGACGCCGTAATCCGCACACAAAACTCAGTTCTACAAAGACAAGAAAGCAATAGTACAGAACATAACAAAAGAGAATAAAAAACTGACATCCAAATTAAAAATTCATATACATGCATAAGTTATTTTAAAAAACTATGGACACATACCCAAAATTTCCCCAAAATAAAAAGTTCTTTTCTTCTTTATTTCTCTTTGACACAAACTCACACAGCAAACAAGGACTCACCTGAACACAGCCTTCAGGCGATCGCTCTGATCAATGGGGTACTTAGAAATCTTCTCTGGGTTCAGAAAAGCTTCAGCATATGCCAGGGGCCCTGCGTTTACCTGTATACAAAACAAACTTCTTTATCCACTTCGTTATACAAAACACACTTCTTTATACAAAACATACTTCTTTATCCACAGTGCAATACAAAACATACTTCTTTATCCACAGTGCTATGCAATACATACTTCTTTACCTACTCCTTTGTAAAAAACATACTTCTTTATCCATACTGCTTTACAAAACACTTCTTTAGCCATGCTGCTGTACAAAATATACTACTTTATCCACAACATATTTAAACCCAAAACAAATCTTCCTAAATATAAAAATTGATTAAAAGAAATAAACAGACCCAAAATAAATGTTCCGAAATACAGAAACTAATTAAACATTTCTAGAAATCCAAAAAAAAAAAAAAAAAGAAGAAAATCTTCAAAAACATACAAACAGATTTTTTTAAAGAAAGTCAAAATAAATGTTCCAAAATATATAAACACAAAAAATCCAAAAACAAACCCAAAAATTAATTTTCAAAATTATTCTAAAAAATACAAACCCAAACAAACCCAAAACAAATCTTCCAAAATATAAAAGCAGATTGAAAACAACTAACAAACCAAAAACACACAACTGACCTGTGCACTGACTCCTCCCTGCAACTTGAGCTGCAGCCGCTTCATGTCGGGAACTGGGTTGTTGATGACCTCTCGGAGGTCACTGACCTTGACCTGCATCTCATCGATGGCCACTTCTATAGGGGTCAACACTATTTCCTTGCGTCCTCCCTCTTGCACCTCAATTCTTTTCTTGACGTAGGGGAAGGAGTGAGTCGCTGAGGGGGCGAAATGTTTCATGAAAGTTACAATAGTGAAAACGTCTATTCCGTTAACCTTTTGAACCCCGAGGTCCTGACCCTGACTGTACTACTTCCCCTGAGTTCCTGATTCATGGGCTTCTGCTAACAGTCAAGGTAGTTAAAGGCAGAAGTGGAGCGCTGATATATTGGGCATTTGAGTGTTCTTGAAAATAGCACATTTACAAATTTACATTTCTCTTGCTTTCTTTTACGTGTTTCAGTAAAGTCCACACAGAAATGTGTTTAAAATGAACATTAAAAGTGATAATAATGCCTTGCCGCCCCCGGCCATTTCATTACTTTGACGAGCCCCTCGTTTCCCCACAATGCCTCACATATAGTGGGACATTAGCGATTTCTTAGGATATCACCTTTTCGACCATTTTATGTCAGCTTCACTCAATTATCTTACATCAAATATTCTCAACCAAATGAAACAAAATGTTTTATGTTTAACCCAAGAGAAAAAGTATATGTCCAACCTATACTATTTTATAAGGAAAGGTCACCCTGTGCAAATATGCAATAAACTATCAAATAAACCCCCCCCCCCCCTCCACACACACATACACACACACTTGGACCCTTTTGTCAGGCACAGACACATTTTTAAAATGTCTGTTTCTCTGTCAATAATTTTCGTCCCCCTAACTGCTGCCTCCAGAGAGAGCTCACAGTGTTGGTTTAACTCACTCACTACTAATAGCCATTTCCGGGGTCGCTATTCCCTGTGTACCAGCCATTTTAAGGGTAATTTTAAAAAAATCACTGTGCTTTTGCTAAGCAACATAGAGACTTGAAATAAGGAACATTGTTTTTGAACATAATAAAAATGAAGATTGCTCTGATGAAATTACAGCTCTGTTTTGTCGTTACTTTTTTCCAAGTTTTCAAAAATTGGTCAAAAACTGCGCTCCCTTTGCCTTTCTTACTCACGCCCTTCCCCACTACTGCAACCCTAGATTTAGGTCTTGGGGGCCCTACTAAACCGTACTCTTTTTTGCAAATTTCCCAACAAAGTTCATCATAACAATCTTCGGCCAATTCATCGGTTTCTGAGTCACTTTCGTCGTCAAATGTTCGAAAACGGTCAAAGAAGCGATCTACCATTGTGGGAAAGGTAATAGTAAATTCACTTCTAATGGTGCCTGTTGTAAAAATCAATAACTCAACTTGCGCTCATCCGATTTTGGTTTCATTTTTTTTCTAATGAAAGATAATTGAATGGGCTACGAAAAAGACGAACCACTACCGCAAACAGTGCGGTTTAACGTGAGAACAAAATTCCAAAGTGCGAACTGCGAGGGTTGTGGGTGTGGTATCACAGCGTCAAAGCTAATTTACCCGCAACAGTTGCGGTTTTGGTAGTGAGTGAGTTTAACAAACAACACGCGATTTACACATGTGTGCACAAACCTTTTTCAAATCGGAATCGTTGATCATTTGCACAGTTTTCTTCCCACACTTCTCACAGAATACAGTTGTACTTGTATCTGTCAAGGTCATGATCTTTCAAATGTAGGGTCACTAAACCAAAAGCATCATATCTTCCCTTCCCAACCAAGACTTTTCTTTGAGCCACTTCCCCCCACTGACTCATGGTCTATTTTCCACTGACCCACGAACCCTAATCAACAGACCCATAGTCCCTCCTCTATTATTGACCCACGGGCCAAACTATCAATGACCCAAAGACTCTCATCCACTAACCACTATCTTTCCTCCAAGCCACTTACTAGTTATGATGAAGCGTCTCTTGTGCTGCTCCTCTATACTCCCGTGTTCCTTGCCTGAGCGAGTGAACGGCAGCTCGTACATGAAGCGTCGGACATTGTTGTTACGCTCGAAGTCTGTCACGCGCGTCGCCAGCTCCTTATCGTCGAAGTACGGGGTCACATACACAACCTGGATGTACGCAAACTTGGGGTCAAGCTCACTCGGGGCCATCTGAAATCCATAGACACAACAATTATTGACTGAAAAAGGACATCATATTGTATGCATAGTATACGATTCCACCATAAGCCATATTGAAAAGTAACATTCAAATAACTATACAAGCACAAATACAAATATAATTCAAATACCATACGACCCAACGCAGCGGCTTAGACTCTATCTTCGATCACACCCCAGAACCCGGCATCCACCCTCAAGTGACTGGATTCAGGGAAGTTTTAGTGCCTTATGCGTATTAGCCTGCACATAATGTGTGATGATGGGTTTCAATACCAGAACTGTGTATCAATTCTGTGTGTGAGTGTGTGTGTGTGTGTGTGTGTGTGTGTGTGTGTGTGTGAAGCCTGGGTGGCCCACGGAACCTGATACTGCCAATAACGATGGACATGTTGTTTTCTGTCATGAGTGCAGGGCATTTCTAATTCAAGACAAATGTGACGAAAAATTTGATTGAGTTTTTTTAAATGACCTCTTCGACAAATCTGTTCAGGTGTTTAAGAGAACTGTGTTATCTGCCGACCATACGATGTTTGTTCCCTCCTTTGTCTTCTCTTTCCACCATTTAACTTTCCTGTTGTTTCTGCAGGATCGAGCTTGTCTTGCCTTCATACTGCCAAAATACTTACCCTATCAGAATTGAATGGCTAAAACAAACATTTAAACCCCCATCATTAAAAAAAACAAACTGGAGTGAGCTACATCATTTTTCAACCAATCACAACACCAAAGTCCGTCCGTGCCACAAGAAAAATGAGCATTTCGTAATTCAAAACAATTTTTTTTTGAGGGGCCTGAGTCCCGACATCATCATCATCATTGCCTTTCTCACCCTGCACCAGGGTATAGGCAACGGACAAACACTTTCCACCTTTCTCTATCCTGGGATAGCCTTTTGATGTTATTCCATGTCTTCCCACTTTTCTGGACATCAATATCTGTGATTCTTCTCAAAATTGAACGCAGTCTTCCCCTTGATCTCTTACCCTGGTGTCCTGATATAGTACTTGATATTTGTGAGATACATAGAAAAGGAACCAGCACGATAGCAATTGTTATGCTTCAAAATAAAACAAATCAGTTAATTTAGTTTTGGTTTAGTATGGGGTTTTACTGTGCTCGCAACAGCATAAGGTCATATGAGCAATGAGCGCACGAAACACAAGTTGGTTGCATTCGAAACAGTTCTCTGTACGGCTGGGCTCCGGTCAATAATTAGATTTTAAAATGTTAAAAATTAAAATTTTGTCTAAATATATTTTCAATTTAAAACAACTTTCCTTGATAACACAAATTTTTTAACAATTTTCTTTTCATTATAAAGTTTCCCATAAAGGCCAATGGCCTTCATAAAATCTAAAATTCTGTTGGGAACAACGACGGAAAACAGATCTTGCAATTTTTTGCATCTAAAATATTTTCTTCGGGTCTCTCTGAAGTCTAGACATTCGGTTAAAATGTGTCTAATGGTAAAATCTGTGTCGCATCCGACACAGAATGGCTTCTCATCTCCCTGAAGGAGGTAGGGCCTACTTATGTGTCAGGGTCGTGTGCCCGATGCGTAATCCAGTAAAAATTACTTCGTCTCTTCTGAAAAGGCCTGAAGGATTTCGCGGTCCCAGTTTGGGTTTAATGTTGTAATAATTTATTATTCGTTTGTTTTTTCCAGTGGGTCTCCCACAGACTGGAGGTGTACTTTTTTACTTTATTTTTAAAGTCAGTCTGTGGGAGAGTGTTCGTCGTTGATCCCAACAGAAGGGACAAGCATTCCTTCGCCAGGTAATTTACCTGCTCATTTCCTCGGATGCCTACATGGCTAGGTATCCATGCGAACACGATATTTTCCCCGGTTTCAGTCAAGGCATGTATTTTTTGTTGTAGCCCAACTATTTTTGGGCGTAGGTGCGTGTAGTTTGTAAGTGAAGTGATGCAAGACAGAGAGTCAGAAAGGATACGGAAAGATTTGTAGGAGAGTTTTCTTCGAAGTCCAGTGCCATGTCAATGGCAGTGGCCTCTGCAGAGAAAATGGAGGCTTCAGGATGGAATCTCCTCTGGAGTGTACTGTTTGAAGATAGGGCTGCGGTGCCCACATCACAGTCTTTTTTGGAGCCATCTGTGAAGATAAGCTCCGCACCGGGGTATTTTTCTTTAAGTCTTTGGTATTCTGTTTTAAATGTTTTGGTGTTTGTGCTTGCTTTGTCGTGTGTGGTCAGCTGTAAGTCTACTTTTGCCTTGGTGAGGTGCCACGGAGGGAGGTCAGGCAAAAAAAATGGTTGGACGTCTTGTTTGGAAAAGTGTATGTTTCTGAGGTCCTCAAGGACTCTGAGGCCGAAGGGTTTGATGAGTTTTTCGTTGTTTCGGAATTTGTTTATGGTGTCTGGGTTTGTTTTGAAAATGCAGTCGTGTGCTGGGTTCTTCGGTGTTGAGCTCTGTTTAATTGCGTAAAACCATTCAGGAAAACAGAAAATTGTTTGGGATTTGAATATGATGATGATGATGGTGATGATGATGATGACAATATTGATGACAATGGTGGTGATTCATAATTGGTTGGGGGGTTTTTCATCCTGCAAAGTAGGGTCAGAGAGATTCAAGCCTTTTTCTTAGGACAGAGATGCATTCTACAGTCCAAGAGAATGTTATCAGGATTATAAACAAACAACAAATTTGCACATGTGTGCACAAACCTTTTTGGAGTCGTTGATCATTTGCACATTTTCCCTCCCATACTTCTCACAGAATATTTTGTACAATCGTTCACGTATCTCTGTCAAGGTCGTGACCTTTGGCTCTTTGTAGATGTATTCCTTCTCATCCTCAAAATAGGTCTGAAAGAGAAGAAGGGAAGAAAAGCATAAGTACAACATGCTGAGAGTGGCGAAAAAGTTTGCTAAAACAAAATCTTAACACAGGAGCCAAAATACATTCCGTGAACAATCCACAGTGGTAAAATAGTAGGTAGGCAAATACAGACAGACAGACAGACAGACGGACAGACAGACAAACAGACACAGACACACACACAAGTTTCACACAAAAATAGAAGATAGTATTTAAGTGTTTTTTTAGCAGTTGTCTCACCTGACCGTAGAGAGCCACCATGTAGTATTTTCCCAGCAGCCTCTTGCCCGACCGCATTACGTCGATGACACTGCCATATGCTGTGGACAGGTACTGGTAGCTCTTCTCCAGTTTCTGACAGGGGGGGGAAAAGAAAGAGTTGTTTTGTTAGGCAAAGTCAAAGTCTTTCAGAATCTTAGTTGCGTTTTACTAAGTTGAAAGGTATTTGCGACACAAATAGGTCATATAAGTGATGAAGATTAGAGGTGTTACTAAAGGGTAACGAACAAACAAACAAACAAACAACGACAACAACAACACAAAAAAGGAATGAGAGAAAAGGACAATAGATAGATCATAATAGATGTTTGATAAGGAAGAAGGAGCAAACCACACCTGCCCAGAAAGAAATAAGGAAGTTATTTTTATCAAACAAATCCGTCTGTGTGCTAGGACCCTGTTTCCCACCAAGTCCAGGATGGCCCTGACATGCAGTGATGAAGTGGCGTCGTTCTTAATCATCGAAACAGTGTCGATAGGGGCATAACACATATAAACAGCTGATTTGACACTGTCAAGGACACTCTCAGAGCCCATGGCTTGACCCTCCTACAAGCCACTCAACTCACAGCAGGCAGACAATGTGTTTCTCACCAGGACATCAACCAGTACCAGCAAAAGGAAAAAGTTAAAGGTGATTAAGTTATTACAAACAACTATAGAAGAATTAAAGCAACCTAACCCATTCCCCACCAAATGGAAAAGAAAGAGGTAAAAGTTTGACTTGATCAAGTAAAAACATAAACATGAAAAACTGACAGTCCAGTACTCTCAAGGAAAAAGGCAAGAGATGGAGGACAGGTGGCACCCTCCAATAACATCATAACATATAAAGTCCAAATGGCTAAAACATCAAAAAGCACATCTGGCTGATAAATCAACTTTTTTCATAATAAAAAAACAACAACTAAAAAACCCCAAAACACAGCAGAAAAAACCCAGAATAAGAACTCTCTCAGATTGCAGAACCAGTCACCTGGAAGTCCCGCAGCTTCTCGTAGATGGGAATGACCAGCTTATAGATATCACCCAGCACCTCATAACGCTGAGCTTTCTCCAGGCACTCTGCACCTTTCTCCAGGAAGTCTACAAGAGTTTCCTGCCAATGTGAAAAAAAAAAATATATATACAAAATTATTGTTCTTCAATTTGTCCAGCAGCAAATGAGTACCTGGCAATTGGCTACAAAAATGCAGAGGGGCCCGGATTAACTCAGACACGTCGGGGATTGACAAATGCGTTTCACACATCCATAATTTGGGTAAATCAATATATAAATTAAAAAATAAATATCAGTTGTGGAATGGCAAGTTGTACAAGTTTGTATGATTTCCGTTTTCCTGTTATCTGTGCACGACTGTCAATATATGAAAGACAGTGGTATACACTGAACAGACAGCAATGTTTCTCTAAGAACAGAGATGGTGAACTGGAAAGAGGTGACTGATCCACAGAGTGCTGGTGACGTCATGTGAGTGCATGATTGAGGACCATACACAACAACATGCATTTAAAACAAGCATTTTCACTTTACTGTTTTTATTCCATACAGTGACAATTTCAAGCTTCCAAATCATGGTTTTATCCAATGCAACTATAATAAAAACTTCAAATTTATTTCTTTACAGCTTGCACAAACATAAACACAGACTTCAATTGATATACTTTTTTGTCTATTTCATCTATACAACCAGAAAAATTTCACATAGGCTTTACCATATTTTTTAATGCAATCATAATGTACTTCAACTTTACATTTTTAGATTTTATACAACTAAAAATCCAATTAAAATCTATCTTTTCACCTTATCCTATTATAAATAAGCATTTCAATCTTACTTAACAATAAATACACACTTTAGATTTGTCTTCATATCTTATCATCTGCATGAGGATATATCCTTATATCATCCATCAATGGGCACTTCAACTTCGTAATCTTTGTTAATCTACACGATGAAGACATAAGTCTGACCTCTGTGTACTGCACGTCCTGCATGCCACTGTCGTCCTTGATGCCGGCCTCCTCCACCACAATGTTCGGGGAGATGAAACCAAAGGAGGAACAGCCCTGTGGGTACGACCCTGAGGACACACAAAGACACATCATGATACTCAAACAGACTTTATTGCCACGTGTATTCGACTAAATAGTTGGTATGATGTTGAAAATGTAGAGACGTGATTTGTTAACATGAAGGCTTGTGTCAAATGCTCCTTTCAACATACCTAGCCTCAAAGAGAAAGGTTTCATTGCTATTTGCCTTATTCCTAAATGAAGATAATCTATTGAGTTTTAGTCTGAGTAGAGGGATGCATATCGACACAGTGATGTTCATTTGGCACTAGGAAAAAGGAAGAAAGACAGACAGAAATGACAGATGATGAGTAAAGAAAAAGGAACTACCAGTGCCAGTCCACCTCCAAACCATTCACACAGTCTATCTGAGTCTTTTGAAAGGAAAAACAATTCATTTCATATTCGGCTCACAAATACACCAGAAAGACAGTCGCAATGGAATCTATGAACTAAATCAGACAAAAATGTTGACATGGTCTATAGAATAACAAATCCAAGAAATTCAGAAAAAATACATTGTATAAGAAGAGAAACAGGCATATTTCTTGGCTAAAGAGACACATTATTGTAGTTAAAAGGATTTTGTTATGCAGAAGTGACCAACTAAAGAGATCATATAAATTTTCACTGTTATTTCAGTAATATGCATACATAAAATAAATAATTTTTTTTTTCTGATATCTGATAAAACAAAACAGCAAACTTATTAAAGATATTTGAACTATTAGAAACCACCAAAATGAAATAGCAATAAAAGATCAGAATTTTAGTATTTTAATTCATAAAAAGATGAAGGGAGAAAACCCTCTTCGAGGACCTTTAGCTTACGGGAGAAAAGAAGTGAAAATATGAGTGCAAGAATGCAGAATCTAGTATAAACGTAAGGAGAACTGAGGAACTTTTTAAAAAAGCCTTAACATTTGCACTTCTATCTAATATTTGTGTCATAAGAAATGACTCAAGTCATTGAAGTATTTACTTTCATTTACTTCTGATTTTTGTTGTTGTTATTACTTAACAAAAAGTAGAGAACTAAATAGAGCTAAAAGCACACACACAAAAAAGTACTGAGCAATGCATACAATAAATTTTCAAAAATGATCCTTACTTACTGCAATAGCATTGAAAACAAACTCAAAACATTTCAACAATGTCAACAAAACCAGTGACAAAACACAGCCAGTACAATAATTTTGAACAAAAAAAAAATCAACAACTTTTGTTATGTACCAGTGCATAACTGAGAGAATGTCTAAAATCTACGTCCACAAAAACTGAAAAAAAAACAACACTTTAGAACATGAAGGCTGGAGAGGCTTGTAGTTGAAGCATGCGACACAAAGCAGCCTCCATCTGATTGGTCTTCCTAGAACTACAAGCCAGGAAGCTTGAACTACCAAAGACAAAATAGACTACGTTGTAAGCAGAGGAGTAAATGGTTGAGGTAGACCTAACCGTCCCAACAGTAGCTTTCAAAACCCCCAGATTCTACACACACGGTGGGTCAAGATGGTGGGCATTAGCCAAGTAACCCCCCTCCAAACCCTACACACACACTTTTCTGCATTAAATAAATTCAAGCTATTCAAATTAGAACTGCAGCAGAAGATCTCTCAAATTGACTTTAGAGCTAAGTTCTAATTATTATTCGCAAGTCCGTCTGGAAAGTTCATAATCTTTCTGCAACATTGGCAAGTCCATGAGATGAAAAACTGCAAAACAGAAAACGCATTTGCAGATACAAAAACAGGCTTGTGTACTGAGACCTTCAAAAATGTACGAATATGTTATTTTTACTATGTATTTAGAATAAAAATGTTACATGCTACCTGAGAAAATACGTAAACGGGAACTTTAGACATGCACAGGGAAACTTAAAAGAGTAAATAACAAATGGTGCTGGTACAGATATCAGTCTCGTGTTCTTTTGGGTTGATAGTTCGAATACAAAGGTCCTCATTCTCATGATTTCTTCAGGAACATTGTCATTTTAATTCCGTAAAGTTTGATCTACATTTTCACCACATCTGCACTTTCGATTCTGAACTACCTTTAATGACATAATTATACAAGGAACACTATATTATCTACAGGAAACAAGGTTTTAGATTACTCTTTCATTTGCTTGTTAATCAAACCCTTATCTTCACAAATATTTTACATACTTCGACTCGATGGTTCAAGAACAAACGTGTTTGTTTTCAGTTTCAGGCGATCGAGTCGGGCGATCGGCCCGATCCAGCCGTAGTGGGCATAAGTCTGCTAGGCACATGTCAAATACAGCTACCCAGCCACCTGGTAGTAGACTGAGCAATCTATCTCAACTCTCTAACTTCACCGCGATTCATTGCAGCTTTACGCCCCTTTCAACTCGGTAAGGTCACAGACTTCAGGCAAGACAAACCAAAGGACATGAAATATTGAGAAGAACATCTAGGGCGAATTTGAGCCATGCTGTGACACAAGGACAACGTTGAGAAACAATTCTGATTGAGCAAGAAACAAGGACATGAAGTGATAATGACAACAACAAAAGAATACAAAATAGTTATTCAAATTTCTACTGACAATCAGGTACATTATTATTATGTTACATCAGTTGAATGTTGTACTTAAAAATTGCTGCAAAAATTCTACGTAAAATGTTTACGAAGCGGCTCCTAAGGGAATAGATATCTTCATTAACAGATCAAACTGTAGTAATAGCCAGGTCATTACACATTGACAATAACAATCATACACAAACATTTAAACACAACAACAACAACAACAAAAAAAAGCTAACTCTTTTGAGAAAGTATTACCAACAGACGTTTTGCCAATCTTTATGGACATTATGTGGCATCCTTCTTTAAATTGCAAGAACATTTATGTAAGGGAAAGTCAAATGTGCACGTGCACATGTGTTTGTGGGGTCAAAAGGGCGGAAAAGGGGATAAGAGAGATTGGAGGTAAAGGCAGGAGGAGGGGGAAGGAAAGAACAATAAACAATGAAGACTGCAACAGACAAACTTCTAGGCGAAAGGTAGAAAAGGTAAACATATTTTGAAAAGCCTACTACAAGCTAGTTTTTTCATTATGGTCTACATTGATTTTATATTTATATAAATATATAATAATCATGTAAAAAAGACAGGTGGACAGCACATAAAAACAATGTCATCTCAACCGTGTTGGAACATGTATACATAGGAATCGCACTATGACTTCCATCACTGCCAAAACCCTATTGAGAAGCTGCTAGCATTAAGAATAAAACATATATACCTATGCTAGATACTCCTGTAACTGTGGTCACATCTAGCATAACACAGACACTGACCAGAACTTATGAGCATAGAGAAGGAAAGCTTTATTTTTCTTTTCTGCAGCAAGCAATGTAGCATGGGGAACAAAACGAAGCTCGTCCCAAAAGCAGTATAAACCAAAGTTCCTATAGTCCAGGAGTCATTAAACTATGGCCCGCAACCCAGATCCAACCCGCTTTATCCACTGCCATGCCACCATTCTCCCCCCCCCCCCAAAAAAAACCCTTGGAAGATAAGCTTGTAGCGTGCTCAGGACTTGGTCAACAAATGATTTTATCATTTCAATTTCATTGAACACTACAGTGAAAATTTGATGTGTTTATAAAGACTTCATAACTTTCAGCAAACATATATTTTTCTACTGTAGCCTGTTCAGTGTATTGTGTTTTTCATAATAGATATATTCGTTCCGCATTCTGGGTTCTCTCAATTATCCGGCCCACGCTCTGCATTCTTTCAATTATCCATCCCACTTTGCACAAAGTTTGGTGTCCTCTGCTATAGTCTCTATGCATTTCAGATTGTTTTCAGAGGTTGTAAATGGTCACGTCCACAGAGAATCAGCTTTTACTGTCTACAGAACGGGTAACTAGTCTTATATTAATTTAAGAAAAATTACCTTTTATTGTGTTAAAGAACATAACATATCCGTTCTTATATCAAGTGGTAAAAGTTTCTAGTCAAGAGAATACTTGGCTAATCATACACTGACAGAATTATCATAATAACTTTTGAGTGCTGATGACAGATATCAGTTGTTCTAAACCCACACATTTTACCCTGCTCTGACAACCAAAAACAAAAAGGTGCAATATTAGGAACAAGTAAAATAAAAAGCGAGGAGTTTTTCTATGTTTCAGAAGTTGAATTTAGATAAAGTAAAATTACAACAAATAAATACAATTATTTATCTCTGTGTTATGATTACTGATCAAAAGGACAACTTGAGCTGAACCATAGGCCTACTATTATTGTTCTGCGGAGTCTATTTCATTTTTTTTCTACAGTGTTTAGACTGCACAGATTTCATATTAAGCTTAGTTATGAATATAAGTAAAATATAACCAAGAACTTCAATCTCGTACAGATGCCCCACACGCACGCACGCACACACAAAAACACATAATATGTAAAATCTGCATTCCTCTCGGCAGATCACAAAGTACAAACCAACAATAATATAATACGAAAAACTTTTTCACTTCTTTCAAGTTATGTTACGTTGATGATAAAGTTAGAGAAAAAAAAAATTTACATCCAGTTTCAAAATGCAACACGTTTTCTGGAGATGATGCAGCACTTACTAGGTTTTAACTTTCCTGCAGGGAATAGTGATAGGTGATACAAGTACAATAAAGGCAAGAACAAAAAAGAAAAATAATAACATTGTTCTATACTATTTAGAGACTTCTTAACACTCATCTATATTACAGTGTACACAGCTTGTGTAAAAAAAAAAAAAATTAAACTGCTAAAACGCTTTTTGAAAGAAAAAAAAGATTAATAATAGATGTTTTGTTTTATTTATGGTATTCTTATTACTAATCCATTCTAAAGTAACAGCATATGCGTAGAATAAAAAAGAACGGATACAAAAAAAAAAAGAAAAGAAACTGGATAAAACAGATCAACAAACGCAACACAACAAGGTACACAGGCAGAAAAAAAAGCAATCTGCAAGTTTCTGAGCATGAGAGAATGAAGAAAGAACAACCTAGTAAGCCTCCAAGGGCTCGTGTGTTGACTATGAGGAGAGAGACACAAAACAAGAAAATACTTCACAACCTTGACAGTCATTAGCTACTGTATATGCTAAATAAATAAGTGGTAAATTTACGAGTATATAGGCACATATTTGAAATACATGACACAAAAACAAACAGCCCAACCCAAACATACGCACAAGAAAAGTAAAAACCCTAATATTCTGACTTTTATCTGAAAAAAAACAACGAAACAAAAACAAGAGCAAAATGTGCACACAAAAAAAATCCTCCTCCACTCACCCATTCCTACAAAAGACCCCCCCAATGAAACAGGAGTTAGCCATACCATAACACCCCACCAACTTTAGGAAACATAATATAGTTACAATATTATTGTAATAACTTTTTAAAACATTATACAAGATACAAGACTTCTGTACTCTTGAAACTACAGACACAAGTTTCAGTTAAATCAAAAACCCAAGCTAGAAATAGATACATAATAGCGACACAATTCATTCTGACCAGGAGAGAAAAAAACCACGACACCACATATGACTTATTCCAACCTTGTCTTCTGTACACACAACAGTTGAGGGAAACACACAGGCAATGACTCACACAACCACACAGACAAGACTGGGGCACATCTACTAACCGTATTCTGCAGTGGTTTGATTTTTTAAATTAACACACACTATAACCTTTACTTTCATTGTTAAGTATGCCTTAGGTCTGTTTACTATCAAACTACAGTCGAACCTATCCTAATGGCCACCTGTCCAAGACAATCGCCTTTACAAACCTCTAGAACCCCCTCCCCACCTTACTTTTTTGAAGAAATAATATAATGGCACTGTCCAAGATATCCACTTGTCCAAAACAATTGTGTTTTTTTTCTCAGCAATGGGTAGGTGCCTTTGACAGTTTCGACTGTTATCTTAATGGGAGTTATGCAAAACACAGGCATTTTTTCTTTTAGATGCCTGAACCTGGCTTCCATTCTTCTGCAATCAAGACACACTATTAAGATTGTTTCACTGGATTATCTTCCATTAATTTAATTAGAAAAAAATCAAGGGAAGGTCTACAGTAAAGGCCATCTGTTTAGGTCAACAGTAAAGGTCAACTGTAAAAGCCAACGGTAACAGTAAACTGTAAAGATCAACAGGAGAAGGTAAGCAGTAACGGTCAACAATGAAAGTCCACATTTTGAATACCTGGACCCGTCCCCGCTACCAGCTGTCACTGACAGATTTGGACGGACAACTAGCTATTTGCCACTAACTGACAACATATGGCAGAACGCCAGAACATACGAAACAACAGAAGACAACGATGTCGATACAATCACTGGGTGACGCTTTTGCTACAGACTTGTTTTACAACGTGCTCACAGACAAAACATCACATTTGCAAAACTCTAGCCATGTAATAATTTAGAAAACACACACAAAATATTCTCATTTCTACAAATACTTTAATCTAAAGAAGTGCTTTAAAAAAAATTGAATCTTAAGAACAAGATAAAACAAATAAACAATATTTAAATAGGCATAATATGTAGAAGATTAATACCATTTACCTTTTCCATTCGGAAAAAGAAAAGATATGTTAGAGGAAGAGTAAAAAATCACAGAAGAAATTGAAGGGAATACATATTGAGACAGTTTTAAGTGTGCTAGCAAAAACAGTAGAGTGGATTAGAAGATGGAGAGCTCGCTGGTGTGGTGTCTTACCTCGACGTTTCAGGTACTCTGCTATCAAGGCAGCTATGTGAATGTAACAGTGACCAGCCTGTGGGGGGGGGGGGGGGGGGGGGGGGAAATGAGAAATGTCAAGGATGGAAATGAAAAATCGCCCCTTGCAACACTGTAAGATTCTTTAAGAGGCGGGACCTCCAAATTTAACGCCCATCTCTGATAGACCAAGCCAAGTGGGAAAATTTGTGTAAAGTGCTTTTCCTCAAGGATAACTAGTCCTGTAGCCTAATCACTAGACTAATGATGCCACATCAAGGATGAGGGATAGATCAAAGGTCAGGGATGGGGCAAAGATCACAGGTCAGGGATGGGGCAAAGATCACAGGTCAGGGATGGGGCAAAAACCAAAGGTCAGGGAAGGGGCAAATGGTGAAATGGTATAGGTTTAACGCCCCTATCAACACTGTTAGGTTATTTCCGAGGCGGTCAGACACAGTTCCAATTACTTGAATATAACTTTAAAGTGTTAGACAAGAGATTTAGAGCCTTGATACACTATATCATATTGAAGCTAATCTCCAACTGTCTTGAAAACCATTTTTTTCTCTCCTCTTTCTTTTGTACCCATATTTTCTTTTAAAACAATTTTTGGGGTATTTTTAAAAACATGTTTTTTTGTGTTTTGTTTTGGGGTTGTTTTTTTTGGGGGGGGGGAGGTTGGCACAGTTTTGATGAAAAATATTTGCTTTCTGGCAACAAATTATGCTCTCGTTATATTCTCACCAGTTGACCAGTTGAGTCTGCAACTCACCTCAGAGAAGTCCCCGTATCGTATATGCAGTTTCGCCATCGCATCTAGCCAGGTTTTCCTGAGCTCTGGAGTGCTGGCGTAGGACTTAGCCAGGCTGTACTGTAGGTCCACCAGGAGCTCAGGGTCGTTCTCGTTCTCCTTCATCTGGGCCGTGGCCATCAGAACTGTGCGGATACGCTTGGTCAGGTCACGGACCTCACCAGGGAATGGCGTTTTCTGTTGGAAAGTGTAATAAACTTGTTGGTCAGAGGTCATAGGTCATGGACCAGTAGGGTCCAATCATAGAGGATGAAAGGTCACGGCTGAGGAACGTGAGCAGTGATGTTGGGATACAGCTAGCATTCCAGTCATGATGGTTTTGTGGTTTTGCTTTGAGTAATTGTGGAGTACAACGTCCACATGATAATTGCCATTTAGCGCTGGGTAAAAGTAAGATGACTGAAGAGACACAAGGGAGGGGAAAAGCAGAAGTAGGACATATTAGTAGTGCCTTCCAACCACCAGCAGTTTTAAAATGAAGGCAAAATTACAGTTGTTGTAAGCTGATTGAGTGTTAAATTCAGTGAAGCCAATGGCATGTCAGATGGTACTTTGGCTGGCCAGTCTGTGCTGGGATACTTTAAGGCTGATGTATGAGAAGGCAGAAAATCATATGAGGCTTCACAAATTAGCTATGCTGAAACCAAGAGAGAAGCCCGCAAGGTGCACACATCCACATGTGAAAATGAAGCTTTGAAATGTTCAAAATCTAGCAAAACTGTTCTCAGCCAGAATTGATCTCATTGGCCATAGCAGAAGCCACAAATTATATAAATCCTTAGTTAATTTTTTCTATTTCCCTTTAAGAAATTATGCTCCTTCGCAGATGCATTAATCATCATCAGACATTGACGAACAAACTATTATCATTATATTTATTAGTAGGTAAGGAGAAACGAAGTGTTCAATTGAACTTGCTCCAACAGTAACCTGTTCAAGACAATCACTTGGACAAACAACCACTTTCCACCCCCATTCCCCCTCCCTTTTTTCATGTTTAAAAAAATATAACAGCTCTTTCCACAAGGACCACCTGTCTAAGATGACCACTTTTTCTCCTTGGCAATGGATGGTTGTCTTGAACCAGTCCCAATGTTCATGTTGTTTATGAGAACACATGAATTTGGTGCAGTTATTACAGACTGTTGGATAGGAAATTAAGACTGGACAGGAGAAAGAAAAGAAGTGGAAAAGAAAATATTCAGGATGACCAGTACTGCAGCTTTTGCAAGAGTATTAACTGTATTTATATCATAAATATTTAAAAATTAAAAATAATTTACGTAATTTCTTTTTTCTTTTTTTTGTCTTTTGTGGTGTTGTTGGTTTTCAAAAATTCACAAAACACAACTACTTTTTAAAAAAAATTAAATTTTTGAAAATCTGATAATTTGCGACAATTACTGATTCAGAACTTAAGCGTATCCCACAATGAGTCCAATTGACTTACCAAAAATTAAAAAATACAGAGCAAGCTGGATCCAACTTTCACCCCTAAACATGCCAGGAGCGAGCACACACACACACACACAAACACACACACACACACACACACACACTCCCACTCGCACACATACACACAAGCACAAACACGCACACACATCCAAACACATACTGTTCAAACATGTGTATGCACACACATAATTTTAAAACAAAATCTATAGTGGCAATTAACTCACAAAAGTGATGGTTAGTCTAGAACAAAGCATTATGAATTAAAAATAAGAACATCTTTAAATATGAGTCTAAGATACAAGCAACCAAAAAAAAAAAAAGGCAAAAAATGAGAGCTAAGAAAAATAGATACAACCCCTACAGTGTAAAATGCAAAACTCATATCTTGCCGCTTCAACAGCATCGTATAAATATAAAAAATTTACTGTAAAAAGCAAAAAGAAAGCATGAATCCACAAACAGCAGAAGCAATAATAGATATGCACAATTTATAATAGTGATGAACGTTCACAAAAGTTCTACAATCAGTGACAACAATACGTTAAGTGAGAGACAGCACAAGTGCAAGCAGTTCAAAAACAATACACACTCTCAATATTTATCAACTGATTTTTAAAAGTGTATTAACAGGGGCCTATCCTATAGGTGACTTTACACCCCTGTTGAAAAAAATTCTGATCTGTTAGGAGGCGGGCTTTGACCCTGCCTGTTAGAGCCAACCCTGACTGAGAAGGATACAACATCTCAGCAAAACGACATAGATACTTCATGAAAAGTTCTCCCCACTCGGGTTTCCTGCGTGCAACGACAAAGTGCCTAACCGCTACACAACAAACGCTGGCATATTTATCAATGCTCCCAGAAGATTCAAAATACTTCAATATTTCCAATGTGCCGCCATTCTGTGATATGAAGAACACTGACCCCTGTGGGCATGGTTTGAAGCAACTGAAATGCTAAAAGATCTAAAATGAAGTCGATGGAGGCATACACCATTTACAGTTAGAATCAGAAGCATACAAAAATATTCAAACTGTGTGTATACATTTTATGAGACAACTTGTACTTACAGTATACAAAAGATAATTTTTAAAGCTTTTAAATATTAGACGCACTTCAATAGTGGGGTATTAAGTGTCATGGTATTAGTCAAGAGTACATGTTTCAGAGCGTTATTGATACAAATTTGGTCATGAAAGTGCCACAGACAGATTTCGTTTCAACAATACTAAGCGTCACAGGAATTTGAGACAGTGTTCAGGTTTTTAATGCCCCTAGCACCTTGCAACAGAGTCCTGGTATGCTACGCGCAGAGCATTAACACATGATACTTAATACTATTGGCTCCATTTGATCCAGAGAAATCATGGACTGCCATCAAAACAAAGATGTCCCAGTCTGTAGGAGAGGTGCTGGGTTACATGGCCTGCCGTGTCTCTAAATCCCAACACAGGAGTGACAGTCTCTGCCACCACAGATCTCACACTTGTTGTAGGAGCTGTCATTGACTGCAGTTCCCTTTTTTCTTTTCCCTTTCTTTTTCCCTATTTTGAATGGCTTGTAGTATTTAGAAGGTACACAGTACTGTGCTCACATAATACACAGAACACGTTGCTCTGCTGTAAGTATGAAAAAGAGGCAGATTTCGTCCATTCATCACTTTTCACCACCAAGTGAAGTCATGCTTTGCAGCCGTGTGACAAGTAGAAATTTATCTTGTGTGTATGAGACCTTAGATAGTACAAAGCACAATACCGAAATAGTAAGATAAGGAAATTGAATAGCATTAACGAAAAGCCACAGTACTTGTAAAAGTTTTCTTATAAATGTATATTTCCAAATTGTCACTGCTGCAAAAGATTGTGACTACACCAACACAATCTAGCTCAAACAGGAGGCAAACATGATTTACATTGCTCTGGAGGCAGGCTGCTTTGACTCTGCCTGTTTGGGTCAGCCCAATGTGTGAGTACACACTACTACTACACCAGAGCAGAAAGATGAAGTCACTGGATGAATTTTCTTCCACAAAAGGGAATTGAACTCATCTCCATAAAGGGCACAGAGAAGATCTAAACCACTGCACCACAGATGAAAGTAATTCAGAGGGAAAAAAAGGAAAGCAAGTACCAAATGAACACCTTTATGAACATAAAAAGACTCTTTGTTCAAATTGTCCCAACAATGGGTGGTCGAATGGTGAAAACAGTATACAGAGGGGGAAAAAATTAATGAAAAACAAAAACAACCTTAAAATAAAAACAAAAATCATTGCAAAAGTGAAAAAAAGCTACCCTCTGTTTGGCAAGCCATAACTGAAGCAAACACCAAATAAAAATATTTTATTTCAAAGCGCTCAACAACAACAAAAATACTGTAAAAACCTCAAAACAAGACACAAACTGACTGACCATTTAAAGGGTGACAGATTACTCAAGCAAGAACACAGCTGGTTAGAAGATGTAGCACCCAATGACAGCACAAGAGTGACGCTATAGCACAAAAAGAAGCCACATCAAGGTTAGCCCAAGGTAAAGTTGAGAAAATTGTACAGCCTAGACAGATATATTATGTATTCCAATGCGGCACTCGGCAAGTGTCTCAGAAAGCCAGCTGCAATTTCTGTCTGGTTAACCAAAAAAAAATTTTTTTTAAGATAAAAAGAAAATAGAAAAGTAGAATTGGAAAGACAGCGTATATTGTGAGTGGTAAAAACGTGTGAACTTACGACTAACTCCTTTTGGTCTAGGAACTGAAGCAAATTAAGTCTGGAATTATTCAACTGTGTAACGGCAGTGTTCATAAGAGAGAACAAAAATATTTGCATAACCAAATGAAACATGGGATAAACGTATGCGTGAGTGAGCGCCTGTATGTGGCCATGCATGATTCACTATGTGTATGCAGACACTGGATGTCTTGCAACATCTACAAAATGAGACTTAACCTGGAAAAGACAACTATGTTCACATTTCAACCCATGGAAAACTAATAAAGCATTCAACAACTGTGGAAGACGTATTTAGAGACACTATTTAGGGATCAGCACGGGTCAAAGAAACCATGCTGAGAAAAGAAAACAATCATAGTTGATCTTCTTCCAAGACAACAAAGTTACTGTAATTCAGTGAAAATGATATTCTAGAAAAATTCAGGTAAAACGAGGGGGTGGGGTGGGGGTGGTTGGTTTGATAAGAAATAACAACTCAGTAATTACTAAGGAAAAAAATTTTTTTTTTTAACTCCCCCCAGGAAAGTTTCAATTGTTTTGATCACAGTTAATCCTCTTGGTTGATTTACTGATATATAATAAAGTCAGCAACTTAAGTCTCATTTTTAGCTGTTGCTCATCAAAATTCCATCAAATATTCTGCAGAAATAGGTGTCAAACGACAGACAACAGATCTTCATTCATCAGAGGAACAGTTTTTCCACCAGAGTGAAGAGATAAAACTGTGAAGATTATTTCGACATTGACAAACAAAAAGTTCGGTGCGCAAATGAAGGGACAAATTATGAGACAAAAAGGCAGGACAGGCGTTTAAAAAAAATTCCCAACAATAAATGTCTGATAAAAAAAGCAGTATGTCAAATCAATCAAAATTTTCATAGTAAATCTTCATTTTTCAGGAGCTAGATCTGAACAAAAACATCAGTCATCACTGTTTGATATTCATTTCTCTGCTCCGACAAATTAAAACAACACCACCCCACCCCGCCCCCCTCCCTTTATCATCCTGGTCTTCTATCTGTTGACATGGAGACACTCTGTGATCTATGTGGTCATGACTAACGAGGTGCATCTCATATTTAAGTTTCCCTGCAATTTACCGCTCATAAATATAGTTATCAAAATTGTTTTAGTATTCCAAAATAAAAGGTATTATATTACTTGTATTAGAAAACAAGGGGGGGGGCTGGGGTTCTATCACGCAAATGGATTATGAACTAAGGACAGAAATGTTAAACTTCAGTATTTACAGCTGCATTTCATAGCATGCTGACCCGTACATAAGGAAGAATATTGCTTTGTTGTTTATTCTTTGCGTCAGTCTATCTGTCCTTACATATGTGAAGGTTTATGATAATTGATGAGCACTACTATGTACACTGTGTCTAAATGACAGTGTGTACCTTTGAGTGTGAGGGTAAGTGTGTGTATGCGTGTGTGGGTGTGTGAGTGTGTGAGTGTGTGTGTCTGCGTGTGTCTGCGTGTGCGTGTGTACATGTGTATGCGTGCACGTGTGCGCGCATGAGAGTGCATGCATGAGAATTCATCGAGTTAAAACAGACATCAAAGCCTCTGTACATGCATGTGTGTGGGTGAAATAGTGTTCACATTCGCATGTGTGTGTGTGTGTGCGTGCATATGTACAGTGTATGAGGTCAAAAACTGATGACTCTCTGCATGCAAGTGTGTTTAAGAATGTGTGTGTAAAAAAAAATATTCATTTCCTAAAACTACCTGGGTGCCTGGGAATTTTATGCAGCGCTTTAAAGAGACAAAAAACCCAATTGAAATGACTACAAAGAAAATCCGTAAAGAATATTATTGTTGAGAAAAATAAGCTGACATGACACAAACAGCTTCCACCAAACAACTTTCTCACTAGCATAATTTATAAGTAATTTACCATTAGGACACTCTGAAAGGATTGAAATGAAAAATAAACAGTCGGACAATGTCATAAAAAATTCTGCTTAATTCTGTGTAATCTTTGAAAAAGCCACCAACCAAGGAAGGTAGTGCTTCTTTCAAAATTAGGATATTTTTCTTCTGTCGTTCCCATACAACAAACAGTGTTTTTCCTCCACTTTTCACACAACTATTTCTTTAACTATATAAATCATATAACATTATTCACAGCTCTATTCATGGGGCATAGAAATTTTACAGTGTATTGATTTATTCCATTCATGTTGTTTAGTAATTGAACATATTTTTTTTGGTATGTAGAGGTATTATTACATCCTAATCGACACAATTTACATGATTTAGGAAGCAGGCTTCAACTCTGCCTGTCAGGTCAACCTGGACTGAAAGGAATACTAAATCCCAGCAGAAAGATCGAGATGCTTGATTAAAATTCTCCCCTCTCGTGATTCAAACTTAAGTCTCCTGTGTGCTATGGCGAAGCACCTGACAGCTTCACCATAGATGCCAGTAGATTGAACAGTGTATAGATTTTTTCCGTCAAAAATCAAAGAATCAGCTTGAGACGTTCAGGCTAACATATGATGTTGAGCAATAATCATCATACACCTTTTAGGGAACATAGATAAAGTCACTGGAGCTTGTCCTCTGATGAGACTCAAGAACCTTAACTCAAAAACAGAGTGGCCACTGAACTAACGCTGACCAGCAACAGACATTTTGGGACATTGTCAGTAGTCAAGGGACATTGTGTATTATAAGAGCTTAGTATAACGTTTTAACTATTCTACGTACCTACGTACGCATGCTCTATATGCTATACAACTATTTTCCTACAAATACAAACAAAAGTTTATTTAGATGATTTAGAAAAAAACTTGCTCTTTTTAATTTTTTCCTAGCGTCTGAGACACACAGTCCAAATCTGAGTATGAGAAATTTGCTCAACTACACACCAATGAGAAAACTGGCATTTTTATGTTGATTAACAATAATTGCATTTATATAGCGCATATATCCATGCTGTACATCATGCTCTATGCTTTTTACAACTATTTTTTAGCTATTGGTCAGTTCAGATAATTATTGGTCAGGCAGTAACAAATCATTGGCAGGGTTCATGTGAACAAAAAAGGTGATGTCTACAAAGGGGTGCCACCCAAAAAACAACAGATTTCAGGAACTTGGTGTAAAATTTCGTAAGCTGAAGGATAGAAGTAACTATGTCCAAATTCCTTGTTTTGACAAAAATGGATTTTTAGGATAAGGTGTTATAGGCAACTCTTGGGCAAAGGCACATAGTCCCTCATACGACCTTAAGTATTTGAGAGTGTCGTAAAACTCTTACCAAACAGATACATCAGGAATTGCGATTGTAGCAACATTATTGGGCAGATTAGTTTGACAGTTACACACATGATGCAATATCGTTTGATTGCCTCCATTATGCTGTTTTTGGCATTTTGGCCAAAATGGACAAGGTCACTTCTGGCTCTCAGCCCACGATATAAGAAAAGAAATATATATATCACCTAAACAAATAAGTATTTTTCAGACAGTAAGCTAATAGAAATGAGGATATTGCAGCAACAGAAACAACAAACAACAAAAAACTGAAAAATTGGTATCATCAACAAAATAGGAGGAAAAACACACATCACACACAAAACACAAAATGTTTGGAAGGGTCTGTATTTTCAAAGTCACTGAAACCTGTCCAGAAAAGTGGCACCCCTACCAACAAACTTCAACAGTGTAACTCAAGCAGGCTTTACATCATGACGATAACCACAAAATATCCAGCACACACACACAAAAAAAGATGAAATTTTAATTTTTTTAAAACATAGCAGTGGTAGATAAAGGTGACAACAAATAACTTTTTGTTTGAATCTTACGACACAAAGAAGGTGTACTAGTTTAAGTGCAGGCCTCTCACCTGTATACTCTTGTCGCTGCTGGCATAGTTGTTGACGATGGCCAGACTTTCCTGGAAGCGAGTGGTGCTCAGCCCTACCACCACGCCAATCAGCTGAGACACAGAGATGATCACCTGCAGAGACACAATAATAGATAGCATTTGCAGACCGCAAGTTCCCGCTCAACAGCAAGCTCTATGTGCTTTATAATCTATACTATTACCCGGCAGACCTGATACATTCTTAAACAACCTCAACTTCCTGGGAAGCATACAGTGCAAGCTGCCATTTATAGGCCCTAAAGCACTAACAGACTGACAAGATCTTTCGATGTCTACGGCTGGGTACCCATTCCAACATGGGTGAAGTGAGGAAAATTTGTGTAAAGTACCTTTCCCAAGGACACAAGGACGAGCCTGAGGGTTGCACCCTCGAACATGCAACCTCACAATTACAAGTCCGCTGGCCTAACCACTAGACAACAAGATAAAGAAAAGAAGTTGTTCTTTGCCCAAGTAAAATGAAGCACACTCACAAGTAAAAGGAATATTTACAAGGAATTTTGAGTTTAATTTTAGATTTAGTCAAAGTTTTACAACACTTGCAACACAATTAGGTCATATAAGACCAAGCCAATTACCTGTACACATGACCACTTCCCATCTTGCGTTTTAAAAAATATAATGACACTGTCCAAGATATCTACCTGTCTAAGACAACCAATTTTCCCCTTAAAAATGAGTGGCTGTCTTAGACGATTTCAACAGTAAGTTTAATGAGGGAAGGCCAAGAGTTTTCAAACTATAGGAATAATGTTGTCATCATAGTCAAGAGGCAATAAATTTTTAATTTATTTCATGCCATTGCCACATTATGAAACTTACTCATATTTTGGATGGTGGTGAATAATTGTTCGCACTACATATTAATAATGATAAGTTGGACATGTAGCACTTCAGTTTCATCAGAAAAGAATGAAAAATAACAAAATCATCTCTAAAATAGTAAATAATGGACTGGACAAATAAAGCTAAACAAAATGTCCATACTTTGTACAGGTACGAATCAGATCTCATGCACATGGTTTGTATATAAACGACTGACACAGTCTAGGTACCGCAAATCATATTTGTTTCAGTTAGAGTTTTACGGCACTTGCAAAACAATTAGGTCATGTAAGTGCTGTAGATTAGAGCTATTACAAGAGAGTTAGTTTCAGTAAGAGTTTTAAGACACTTGCAACACAATAAGGTCATATAAGCGCCGAAGATTAGAGGTGTTACAAGAGAGCAACAAACATAAAAAAGAAGGAGGAGAGATCAGGACGATAGATGTTTGATAGGAAAGAAGGAGCAAACCACACCAGAGCATCCACCAATCACCCAGTTACAAGAGAGTAACAAACACACAAAAAAAGGAGGAGAGAAAAGGCCGAAAATGTCAGATAGGAAAGAAGGAGCAAACTACACCAGATCACCCGCCTACCACCTAGTACAATGGCATCTACATTTAAAAACATTGGCAGGGTATGAGCTAAAAAGCTCACATCTTTCTCTCTCCTTCTCTCAGCCACTGGGAAGAAAAACACTCACCTGCAGATGCACTCTTGTAAAACTTTTGCGATTGGAAAACTCAAAGTTGGACCTCATGAGAAGGTAGAGTAAAGCACATGCCTCACGCCGAGTGGAGTTGAGCTTGGAGTTGCAGCAACGAAGAATCTAGGAGTATACAGATAGAAACATTGTACTATTGCGATACAAAAGCTAGTCAACATCTAAAAAAGTAAATACAAGTATTTAAAAAAAACTCTGTAGTCAGAAAGTTTTGTAAACAGTTAAAACGAATTTGGGCACAAGTAAAAGAGAATATGTTGATTAAACAGTTAATTTCTCAGAAATCACAGAATACACTTTTTTATTCTCATATCAACACAACAACAAAATTGACAAGTACTACACTAAGATAAAAATGAAAGTTTTCTTTCCAGTCTCATTTATTCTCACCATTTAATTTCTTTTTTTAACTTACCGTCCTAGAATTAATAGAAATACTTGCCTACATCATCATCAAGTATACTGTAGAGGAGAATTAACGTTTGCTTTGTTGAGGAGGGGTCACTGATCCTAAATAATTCCAACTGTTTGATAGACTGATACTACACCGTTGTTGCCAGAAAATTGCAAAACTCTGTCTGACCTTGCTTTAAAAATAAAAAATAAATGGCATCTGTATACCACAGGTGCCCACTCAGCAGCAAGTATTTATGAGTTTTACAATCAATACTATTACTCCAGCTGACCCTAGAACGCTCAGGTATTTATATAGATTGTAAAACTCATAAATACTTGTTGCTGACAATGATGAAATATAATAACAGTAAATATTTGCATAGCGCAAATTCTCATTCAGCAGCAAGTTCTGTGCACTTAACAAGCTATACTATTATCTACTCAGGGGTTTACCTTCCCTTCCAGAAAAATCCAAGCTTTTGTAAGTTGCTCATTCTCAGCAAAATAATCAGAGGGGTATAAATGCAATCACAACTGGGCCCTAACACTTTGCAGAATATGGCTACCCCTTCTCCCAAATGACTTTTTTCACAGAGTCATTAAACACCTTTCATGTACATACTGTAAGCATATATCCCCTTTTACTGGGAACAATGGTCTGAGATAAATGCATATACATATTGTTAGCACATGTCCCTTTTAGCCAGGAAAGAAAGTTAAAGTTAGTGCATGCTATCATTAAAGCACACTACCAAAGTACACTATGTTTAGAGAGAAAGAGAAGTACTTTAAGGCAACGAGGCCATGAATAGGCTGTAACATGAATAGGCTGTCACATGAATAGCCTGGCACAGTGTGGAGTATTGACACAGGATATCTTTCCCATTGTGGGTTACACTTCCTGGTTCTTTCAAAGCCGGAGTAACTTGTCCTTTCATTCCTTTCCTACACCCAGATAAAAACTGATAAAGCAAAGAATGGGTCACCATTGACTGGCCTTACCTCATAGCACAGCTCTCCGCACATATCTGCACTGCCTTTAAACAACACCGCTTGGAACTGTCAAGGAAAAAAAATAGAGAATATGCATTATATCAATGTGTATAGGACACATGTGAAGATAAGACACAGGTAGACTTGGGAGTCAAAATACATCATATTGTCGACAAGCTGTTCAATTGCTCTATGCCAAGAAAGCAAAATTTTTCAGAAGAGAGAAAAAAACAGCTTTATCCTTTTTAACAGTTATACCCACATTATCTTTAATTTCTTGCCTTTTTTTTTTTCAAATTTATAAAATGAACTTCAATAAAATGTTTATCAAGCTCATGCAAATAGTTCCACAGATTTAAAACTGCCATAATATTTATTTGTTACAAAATTTTGGGCTCTTTACACCTAAACAGCTGGCTGACGATACGCTCATATGACAAAAAGAAACAAATTTTTCACGGCAAGCGCCATCTCTTTTGTATGTACACTTTTCACACTTCAAAACAAAATAAATCAGGTTTTTTTTTTTTTTTACTTAAAAATATTTTACTGATTTGTGCCTCATAGATTATTGAATGGCCTTCTATAAAGATTAAACACAATGAACTATTTAAGATTATGGAAAATCCTGACATAGATTGAAAAGATCTAAGAAATATTGAGAATTTGTACAGGGGCCAATGCACTGTTGTAAGAATTGATGGAGAATACAGCAAATATAGGAGGATTAATTAAAAGAGGAGTGAGGCATGGATGCATTAGGTCACCACTTAGTCTTAAACATCCCTCTAGAAACAGCCCTTAAGACACAATTTTAATGGTGGATTCAAAAAAGGACCTTCAATTGCTTCTAGATCTGTTGTAACAGAAAGTGAACGTAATAGATTATTGTTTAAAGTGAAGAAAACATAATTCATGGTAACATTTTAAAAAGCAGTAAATCTTATTTGTAATCTCATATGCAAAGATGAAAAGATGAGACATGTTCTACAATTTAAATATCAAGGATATATAATCACATTTAATGCCACATGTTCCACAGAGGAAAAAAAACTGCACTGACTAAATACAGTTTCAAATAACCCCTTTCTCATATTTCTATCTGTCCTGCTGAATTGTTACTTACAATGTAAATGAGAGACATTATCACTATTATCAGTTAATTCATCCAGGTATTGACTCACTTTCTCACTAAGGGTGTGCCTCTTTCTTTTCTCTCCCTTTGGTCTTGTAAAGTTACTTCAGTATCATGTATGTGATTGAAATGTTACCCCGATTGGTCCTATTTTTGTACTTTTTCTTTGTTGTTTTTCTCTATCTCACTTTTTCCTTTGCATCAAATGGCCACTATCTTGCTCATATGCTTCAAGACCTAGTGGATACTTTCAGTTCACTGGGATCTACTCAAACTTCATGGTAAGACTGTACCCCTTTCTCATCTTTCTCTTTTTTGTCTTAATAAGTTCTTGATTCAGACATACTCTTTTTCTTTTGTTCCTGTCTGTCCTAGTTTTTTCCTGAACTAAAAGACTGCTATTGTATTAATGTGCTTTTCTTTACTTAAACAAACAAGTTTGTTAGGTACAATATTATCTTGTTGTTTTCCATGAGATGAGCTCACCTTCTTGATGAACGCCCTCCAGGCCCCGAACACATGTTTCTGCAGAGTCTCTGACTGGCTGGACCGCAGGAAACTCAAGTAGATCCGGAATACAGTGTGCATCATGTTGTTGTCCCCGCCTCGGGCCTCAAGGTCTTTCTGTGCAAGCAGCCAGGGCGAAAATTTTTTTTTTAAGTAAGAGTTTTACGGCACTTGCAACACATATAGGTCATATAAATGCCAAAGAGTAGAGGTGTTACTAAATAGTAACATACAAATAAGAGAAAGAGGAGAGATTCGGACGATAGATGTTTGATAGGAAAGAAGAAGCAAGCCACAACAAACCACCCGCCAGCCATCCACAGGAGAAGAACAAAACACAGTCACATTAGATACAACTGTATACATGATGGCATAACGCACAGAAGTGAAAAATGTACATCAATTGCTTGGTGTTAGAATCCGCCATAATTATGCCATTTGGTAAAAAAGTGACGTATGACGAGTCTTACACAGAGTAGAGCTGTGCCCATTCGACTTTACTATTCGACATTCATAATTTTTGCACTATTTACTATTCACAGCTATTCGAAGCAAGGCAGAGCCATTCGAATGCCATGTGATTTTTTAAACAGATAAATCAAATGGGTTTTCGTCTCATTTTTCTCAAACGTAGAAAAATTGGAGTACATTATATCTAAAATCATTAAGATAAATATACAGAAATACTCCTTATTTGATGGTTACGAGACAGAGTGATAAGAGGAGCCTACAGGAGTTATAAAACAATCCTTTAGAGAATATCTCTAACTATTCAATATTCACTCGTCACTCTATGGACAGCTCAAGCAAGGGCACTTGACTCTTGAAGCGCAGTGAATGTTTTTTTTCATGAAGTTAGCTGTCGCAATGAGCTCCCTTAACCCTACTCGAAATTCGAAGCGCTATGAACAATGGCGTGATGTCAACACGTTGCACTGTCTGCGCGCACGCGACAACATCACACATGCGCTCAGTGACTGGCGTTGAACAGCGCAAGTCAGATCTGGACTATCACAATATAAGAAAAAACAATTCTACAGCGCTTCGAATTGCGGAAGTTAGATTTGGGCTTATCTTATATAAGAAAAAACTATTCGACGGCGCTGTGAGAAGCTAGCAAATGTAGAATAGCAGAACTTAGGTCTGGGTTTATACTTTTTAGAAAAAACATTCAACGGAGGTATTCGAAAATCATGAATAGTGAGCTTATGCTTCGAAGCTTCAATGTTTCCTCAAAATCGCACAGCACTAACACAGAGCAGTCAACTGTACTTTCACTGGATAATACAGAATCAGATCATGCAAATAAAAGAATAAAATAAGTTTTACTTAGTTTTTTAGTTTTAGTAAGTTTTTACAGCACTTGCAACACAATAAGGTCATAGAAGTGCCGGAGATTTCAGGTGTTACAAGAGAGTAACAAACACAAAATACAAGGAGAGGAGATAAAGACGATAGATGTTTAATAGGAAAGAAGGAGCAAACCACACCAGAGCACCGCCAACCACCCAATAAGTTTTACTTAAAGTAAAACGATGCGTACTGAAATGATAAAAGTTTTCTCCTGTTGAACAGGGAAGGGAAAAGCATTTAGGTGGACAGAAATTACCAGAAGGAAAGTAAAGAAGTTGGATTTACACAATGGCACCCTCTGACAGACACAACAGTTTCCAAGTACATAGTTTTGGAAGCCGCCACACTTTGGCAGCCATTTTCTCTTTAACTTTACCTTTGACACTATGTGATCTAGATCTATACCTCCTTCAATAGCAAATATTTCATCTCATATTCTGGATACATGGGTATTTTTTTTTTTCCAAACCCAAGATAAATCAACACATTTTAAGATATAAATAAAAATAAATAAATAAATAACACTTTTATTTGTCCCAGAAGGGCACTTTGTTTTACAATGGCAAACATACATACAATAATACATAATTATGAATACGTACATACATTAATAATTACATGCACAAATACATACATAAACACACACCATTACACAAATACAGAACAGTTAACAAACAATGCCACTGTTGGTCACCACTGTGCAGCGCCCTGTATTTGAGCTAGGGCTGTCGTGTCTTGCTCAAGGACACACCCCAGCGACCACCCATTCTGATCCCCGTGTCACAGACACTTGCTTGACATTGCTCGAGTCAAAACTCACTACTCACTGAGCCACTGGAGCCCCCAGATGACACCAGTAACCCCAAAAGCCTCAAAATTGATGAGCGCCCGATTCCACAGTGTCGTGACACAAACAGACACTGCCCTGTCTTTCCCCTGACGGGACACTACAGTTCT